TATGGACGCACACAGCCACTGTGGGCACGAGCCCCATTAGCCGATGGTGGCACCCGTGTAGGGGGCGGGGGTAAGATTGCTGCGGGGAATTACAAAACTTTTGAAAAGAAACGGCAACAGCCTCAATAAAAGGTGCGTCTCCTGGTAGGAAATAATTTTTTTCTAAAGGCGGCTTTAATATCACTTTAACACTTGCAGTGCGTGGGTAGCCCCACTGCAAAGCGCCTAAAAATAAAAACTTTCCCTGGAGTTCTTTAAATGTATGTTGTATCAAAATTTTCTTCATGTTGTTCCTTTCAATCATCATCTCTAATTCCTTCCTATCATTGTCTCTAATAAATCTAAAGCCGATTTAAAGGTAACCTTCATTGAAACGTATCAGTTCAAACAAACGTGTACACAAACATCAAGTTTAGGTTGCATTAATTTGCATGGATTTTAATTAATTAGCATTTTTGTTTTTTTTTAAATGATGCTAGCTGCTACAGCAATCCCCTCTGCTGTACTGTTCAATGTGGAGCGGTGACTCAAAGCAATTCTATTTTATATTCTTTAAAGAACAGGAAAGACAGAGAGCACACAACACAATAACATAGTAACAGACCTGAATATCATTGTATAAAATAGGATGTGGTGCAGCAAGGTAATAAATAGAATGATAAAACGTGTAACATGATGGGGTTGTCTTGTTTAGCCTGTTTTGTGATTGTTGGGATAAAACATTAGGGCCGGGGGGTTTGCAATGAGGGGGCAAAGCAAGGTTTCATTTTCCTACTCTCTGCTTCTTCACGACATGCAGCAGGAACGTCTTACCATTAGTGGATATTTGAAGTTATCGCTGTCCAGAGAACAGTCTTTAGCAGCTAGAGCCAAACCGTGCAGAATGGGAACAAAGATCTGTGGAACAGATACAGGTTAATGTTTTAACACTCCAGGACAGAGAATTAGGCTTGTCATTTATTAAAGCTTAACTGCAGGCAGAAACCCTTTCATGTAAATATATACTTCAACAATCAAAAGGGTTTAAAAATCTACTTTGTTTGCAACACGTCTTTATAAACCCACCTATTGCCTTCATAAAAGTAGCAGTGACGTCACTTTATTGTACATATCCCATGCAAAGAGCAGAGCAGTGGCAGCGACCCAGGAGGCCCCACCCATTACATGCTACCTGCAGAAAACTACAGTAGTGGGCGGAGACAAGACCAGTCATCCTGCACAAGGAGAGAGAGCAGCAGTGACAGGTCTTTGTTACAGGAGGGATGGATACAAGACCAGTCTCTCTGGACAAGGAGAGAGAGCAGCAGTGGCCGGGTCTTTATTACAGGAGGGATGGATACAAGACCAGTCTCTCTGGACAAGGAGAGAGAGCAGCAGTGGCCGGGTCTTTATTACAGGAGGGATGGATACAAGACCAGTCTCTCTGGACAAGGAGAGAGAGCAGCAGTGGCCGGGTCTTTATTACAGGAGGGGGCGGAGACAAGACCAGTCACCCTGCACAAGGAGAGAGAGCAGCAGTGAGCAGTCTCTACTACAGGAAGATCCAAGTTTCACACTGGAATACTGCACAGATCTGGAGGAAAAACCCAAAGCTCATCAAGCTTGGCTCGTAGGAGCAGGCGAGTACAAATTGTTTTTGTGTCCCTAGGCAAAAACAAGCAGTTAAATCTTACAGTGCGGGGGTAGCCCCACTTCAAGGGTTAGTAGAATTCTGACCGGAGTTGTTCTTTAAGTTTTAAATAGACTTGGGAAGAGGGATTATTTCTGTTAAGTGTTTAATACGGTCAATGATCCAGTTTGAGGGAATTTCACCCCATTTCCTGTCCGGGTAAAAGCAGAATTAATAAGATGGCGGCAGTGGTTGCCTGACCTGAAAGAGGTTCTGACACTTCTCTATTTTACTAAAACTTTACTGAAGTGTTTTGATGCAGCAAGTGTCCCCAGTGGAGAGATTTTACAGCAATTCAAGTATTGCTAAAGCGCAAAAAAAAAAAAACAACAACATTTTAGGGGTTCCAAACTAAGACTTATAAGAACCCTCATAGAGTAAACATTCATTCACATTTAATTTGAAACATCGATGTTGTAATAAATAGGAGGGCAAGGGCTGAAGCTCAGTAAAGAAACATGGTGACTCTGGAATTGGCCAGGCACTAGGGCCATGTGCCCAATGCGGAATCAGTGATCACATGGTTTATGGTGGAGGATCCCGTGGGACTGATATTCAGGCAATACAAGCCCAGGTCATGAACAGTGACGCTTCCAACCACTGCTCTATAACTTATCAAGTGACCGGGTGCCAATCCAATGCTGGTACCGCCTCTTTCATTACCAAGGCCATGATTTCAGCACGCTCAGAAAGCAAACACAACTTTGTAACCCTCCAATGCCTTTTTCTTTAGTATATGATATCTAGGGCTGTGTCGATGGGCTTTTATTTGTTTCAAGCGGGTTTTGCATTCCCATACAAGTCTATGGGAATGTAAAACCCACTTAAAATGTCAACTTCAGGCAAAATGCGCCTGGCAATGAATACTGAATGATCGCAGAAGCTTCTTAAACTGATGCCATGGACACAGGCCCTCACACTGATGAACTGAAAAATAGAAAAAGATGGTACTGGATGAATTGAGATTATAGCTGTGATCTCGTAGCACAAGGACGCACACTCTTACCTGTCTGAACACCTCATCATCCTGATAGGTCGTCCTCACAAGTTCCTGGATAAAACCAAAGGGTAGATTCCTACAGAGCATATATGGCACCAGGAGAGACGGCTGCTGTACAGACCTGAACCAAAGAGGGTGACAGTTCACATCGGAAGGTCTGAGGAAAATTTCAGTAAGTAACAAAACCTGCAGAAAGCAGCATTTACCTTGGCTGTGTGAGCGCTCCCTGTAACACCAGCGCAGCATGGCAGATACACTGGGAGCGAATGTTGCTCAGGAGCTGACTCACATCTGGCTGGCTGTACATCTGTGGGGGCAGAACAGAACCACGTTATATAGTTACAATCATTCATAAACATTTCTATGGGGAAAATCAATCTAAGGCCCCATCAATCTAAGGCTCAACCTAATATCAAAGCATCCAAAAACACAGAAAAGGTCTTTTTTTTTTTTTTTAATCAGAAGTCAACTTTATTGTACATCTGCACGGTACAATGATATAAATGGTTTCACCCAAGATTCACATTTTTCCAACTGAAGCCAATCAATGTGTGAATCTTGTGTAAAAACGGTTATAAAAAGGGACCTCTTAGATATTGTTTTGTACTCTTTTGCTAAAGCTGGTCATATACAGATAGAATGTTGGGAGATGGCTGTGAATCAGCTAAAATTCGAGCCGTGGTTGGCCCTGCCAAAACCACCCGACTCAATAAAATACAAGAATAAAAAAAAATAAAAAAATGTAAAATTAAAAAAGCTAACTGAGCAATGATGAGAAGATTTGCCTTTACTTCCTGTCCTGAAGACAACAGGAAGTAAAAGTAAATCTTTCTACAGTGAGGGGGGAAATCCTTTTAAGTTGTCACCATGGAGATTTACCTTTACTTCCTGTTCTGAAGATAGAAGTAGTAAGAGGAAACTTCCCTACAGTGGGGGGAATACTTTTAAGCTGTCACCGTGGCGATTTAGCTTCACTTCCTGTCCTGAAGATACAACAAGTAGTAAGAGGAAACTTCCCTACAGTGAGGGCGAGATCCCTTTAAGCTGTCACCATGGAGATTTACCTTTACTTCCTGTTCTGAAGATAGAAGTAGTAAGAGGAAACTTCCCTACAGTGGGGGGGAAATCCCTTTAAGTGGTCACTGGAACAAGTGTCCCCATTGGCACATTTCTGCTGACCGCCTGTTCCTGTGACAATTGTAAAATGTTGTATTTCCCATCTGGGGACATTGGTGACAAGGACACAGAGAGCGGCCAATAACTACACTTGCTTGGCTTGGAATTGACTCTCACCTTTGGTGCTTTCCTCTCCTCTATTCCCACTCTGTCAAAGCATTCAATGAGGTAGTTGAGCATCTCTGTCTCCTTGCAGGCTTCGATTGTGAAGTGATCGCCGCACGACTCCGAACTGCTAGTTCCACTAGAAGACAGAAGTAAACCTTCAGGTTATCCCCAAACTCCCAGAATCCTCCATTCCAGTATGGGCAGTAAGAGAGCAGCTCATACTGAGTGATTCTCACACCTTCACACTGTTAGTCACCAAAACACAGGCAGAAAAACAGATTGTTATAGTCCATATCAGCAGCACAACTCAGAAGCAGTTCAATGAAAGCCTTGGAACTTCATCACATGTCAGAAGTCGGGGCTCCAGATCGGTATAGAAAGATGAAAAAATGCCAAGTCCATCCTAATGAATTTAAAAGGAAACCTGCAATGAAGCATATGAAGGCCGCCATTGCCAACCTCTCCTTCTGAAAATAACAGCTCACTGGCTGTCAAGCTGATCCTATGGCTTCATTATTTTTTTTAAATAACTGAAATGGATCAAGTTATGAGTCTCAATTTCTCCCCAACTGTCCTGATCAATATGCTGGTTCCAGGTCAGAATCTTAGAGGCCATTTTCACCTTTGTGGAGGTGTTTAAAACAGAAAAACATACGTCAGCAGTTTACACCGAGTGAACATGAAGCAGGCATATGCAGTTGCCGTGTGAGAACACAGAAACTTACCTTTTCTGTCCATTTCATCTCCTCATCCTGCTTTTGAAATGGCCCCCTCTGTGCACTGCGAGCCATCAGTGTAAATTTACACTCTCTGAGCTCTCCCCCCCACCCCCCTCGATTCATTAATATTCATAGTGGCAGTGACCCCCCTTCCCCCAGACAGTGTATTGTGACCTGGAAAGGCAGAGCTGGAGTGCAGTGGTCTTGTTACAATGACTCACAGGGAGGGGGGGCAGCGGCTTTACAATCCGACCCCAGTGTCAGACTGAGATTCCTGTGGAGAAAAATTTCGGTTTGTAGGACTCAGGACTACTAAAAAGTCCATAAAAATATTTAAAAAGTGAGCAATGCGAGTCATGAAAATGTACACACATACAGTATACATCATCCCTGCACCTCTACAATAAATGCTAATCACTTACAAAAGGTGGAAATGGGCTTAGAAAAACTGAAGCGGTCAGGAAACTAGCATTTTCAGAAGGAGCACTAGCACACTTCATACCAAGTGCAGACTAAGGACAGCCAAGAGCAGTGCTAAAAATTGGCCCATATATCTAGCAGTAAAATTCATAGAGCAGATCGGCAAAGTCCTGCTGTCTGTGGCCAATGTAATACAAGGAAACTCAGGGATACCGACGTGGTAAAATATTACATCTTGAATAGCAATATATTTACAATGTGATCTTACCTCTATATTTTTATCTCTTTAGGTCTACAGCTGGCACAATGCTTTGCTTAATCATACATGAGGTAATGGTGGATTACAGTAGGGGAAGAGAGCAAACCTCCACCTTCTATTTCCTCCAGTATAGCTCAAACTCAATGCATCCATTGACACACACACACACACACACACACACCTAATGTCTGTAGTGCAAGCACATGCCTGCTAGTTGTAAGCGATTAGGAGGTCACAATCAGCAGAATATTATTTTCTGAGTTCGGAGCCCTGTTGGGATCTGCCTGCACTTCTCTATCCTGCACCCCCTGCCATGAAAAGCCCCGACCTGACGAGTTTATGGAACGTCGGATGGTGCTTGAATTGTGCCTCATATCTGACCAGACAATGGGGCCTGAGTATCTGCTGAGCCATTTGCTGTTTGCATGTGTGATAGCCAACACAACATTGACCCAACGCCATCCTGAAGAACCAGGCCCCATTCTGTGAGGCGGGAAAAAAAAAGAAAACACAAAGAGCCCGAAACTGGAAACAAAGAACTGCTGGGCATGCTCGTCTTTGCAGGTGATATCGTGACCAAGGTTAGACAAAGACATATACTATGCAAGCTTTCAAAAGCCTTAGCACAAGCAAAATAGAAAAGCAGCACACAATACTGTAGTGATGCAAAGCATACATTGCCTTCCAAGAAGGCCTGCAAGAGGAATCAGAATGAGGGCCACGAAGTTCTTTTACCCACCATGGTAACGCAGTCTGATCACACTTTAAAAACAAGATGCTAACAAAAGTATTTGGGGGGATAAACCTATTCCAGCAACTCCCAGAATGGGTTTAATAACAGCCAAGGGCTTTGTTAAAATGGAACTCCGGGAATTAAAAAAAGTTCTCCCTTGCAATGGGGCTAACCTATTACCTTACTGCTCATGTTGGTCTAAGGGTACTTACCTGATCCCGCCTGACTGCTAGACCGGTCCCCACAGCCTCTCCTCCCCTGGACTTCGGCGGCCTAAGCCTCACTAACATCATAACGTCTAATGCAGGTCCATTCACCTGCATTAAATGTGAGGATGTGAGGGACATAACACAGCCGGAGTAAAAGAGGAGAGAGATGAGCGACCGCTGCCGCAGAACCAGTGATCGGGTGAGCATAACTTCTGAATGTCGGCCCCTAGACCAAAACAAGAAGTTAACCGTTGCAGCGCGGGGGTTAGCCCAACTGCAAGGGTTCATTTTTTTAAATAATTGGGAGTATCTCTTTAAATCTGAAAACTTATAGGCAGTCATGCTAAAACAATCTGGATACTAGGTTAGATCCTGCCATAGGCACCCATTTAGTGCCAGCATCGGAGTCTGAAACCTGCCAAGGCAATTGGTGATTTCAGATAAGGGCCATGGCTTTAGATAGCCACCTGGGAAAGTCAATGAGGTGAGGGCTGTTAAAGGATATCTAAAAGAACCGATATTCAATATATTGCGGCTTACTGGTCCTTAGGCTTGGTTCACACCTGAACGTTTTGTAGCGTGTTCAACGCTCGACGAACGCTCTACAAAACGCTCAAACATCTAAATCCCATTCAATGGGTCTGGTTCACACCTTGCCGTATTTCCGCCTGTCCGAACGCGATACAAAAACGGCCTACGCCAAAAGAAGTACTTGTACTTCTTTGGGGCGTTTTGGTCTCGCGTTTCCATTGGGATACAGCCAAGTAGCCCACGGAAACGCACGTTTGCTGCGCAGGTTTTTTTAAAGGCAAATTGCGGTAAGAATGCGCGCCGCGAACCGCGCGACAAACGCGCATATTCAATACGCCTAGGTGTGAACCCAGCCTTAGGTGTGGTGGCTGCATTAGCTTTTCTTTTTTCAGGCCAAGTAGCCTTATCACTTCCTGTGAGTCGAATTGAAAGCAAAAATGAGGTTTCCTTGTGTAAACTACTATTTCTTCCACCCAGCTCCTACGTAATAGAGATGGAGAGGGGGAAAACATTTTTGAAGTGCAGCATAAGTTCCAACCATGACTCCCTCTATATATACAGTGGAGGAGTAAGCGTAGCAGCCCAGGGACAGGAAGTGTGTTATTCACAGGATCAACATGTGCAAACAAAGAGAAAATTAACGCAGCCGCGTCATCAAAGGACTAATAATCTGCAAAAGATAACTTTTCTTTTTGGAATTTGATGCACTTTAATTTAACAGATGCAGCTCTGTGAGCAATGGGAGTTTAGCATTTTCCCCAAAAACCTCTTAAAACTACTGCGGATTATGAAGAGAATGCCACAATACCCTGACCAAGCACAGCAACTGGTATCTGTGATTGTTAGTGAGTGCGGAAACACTCGAGCATGCCACACTGGTCGGTACCTGGACCCAAACTGCACACTAGAGAAATCCTCTTCGTTGCTGTCATCGTCACTGCTGTCCTCGGCCTCCTCAGCGAGGAAGAGGGACAGCGGACTGTCGTACGCACTGGCATGATGTAAACACACAGTTAATGAGAGGGTGGGAGTACAGGGCATCTCAAGACACACTAAGCTTCATCACATCACATGCTGTCAATGCAAAGTAAGGATGTTTTCCTCCATATATGACAGAGGTGGACAAATGCCAGAATTCAGGAGCCGGTACACACAGGTAAGAAGTCAGGAATACAAAAGTCCCTAAAAGAAAGTGCTCAATATAGTCACCGGCTGTTATTTTCTAGGCCTAATGGCTACTCAGCTACTGGAGTTTGTCCAGCTACAATAGATGATTAACATTAAGAAGGAAAGGCTTGCTAAGAAGAATTGATGTATTTAGGTTCCTGGACTGTAGGAAGCAGGCGGCATTTTAAGTGATGTCACTGGTGTCCAGGAAATGGATAGGCTGCATCCTCAGTGATGTCACCGGTCTCCAGTGAAAGGATTGCCTGTATTCTCAATTATGTCATCAGTTTCTAGTGATTGGATAGGCTGCATTCTCAGGGATGTCACCAGTCTCTAGTCAATGGATAGGTTGCATTCCCAGTGATGTCACCGTTCTCTAATGAATGGACAGGCTGCATTCTCAGGGATGTCACCAGTCTCTAGTCAATGGATAGGTTGCATTCCCAGTGATGTCACCGTTCTCTAATGAATGGACAGGCTGCATTCTCAGGGATGTCACCAGTCTCTAGTCAATGGATAGGTTGCATTCCCAGTGATGTCACCGTTCTCTAATGAATGGACAGGCTGCATTCTCAGGGATGTCACCAGTCTCTAGTCAATGGATAGGTTGCATTCCCAGTGATGTCACCGTTCTCTAATGAATGGACAGGCTGCATTCTCAGGGATGTCACCAGTCTCTAGTCAATGGATAGGTTGCATTCCCAGTGATGTCACCGTTCTCTAATGAATGGACAGGCTGCATTCTCAGGGATGTCACCAGTCTCTAGTCAATGGATAGGTTGCATTCCCAGTGATGTCACCGTTCTCTAATGAATGGACAGGCTGCATTCTCAGGGATGTCACCAGTCTCTAGTCAATGGATAGGTTGCATTCCCAGTGATGTCACCGTTCTCTAATGAATGGACAGGCTGCATTCTCAGGGATGTCACCAGTCTCTAGTCAATGGATAGGTTGCATTCCCAGTGATGTCACCGTTCTCTAATGAATGGACAGGCTGCATTCTCAGGGATGTCACCAGTCTCTAGTCAATGGATAGGTTGCATTCCCAGTGATGTCACCGTTCTCTAATGAATGGACAGGCTGCATTCTCAGGGATGTCACCAGTCTCTAGTCAATGGATAGGTTGCATTCCCAGTGATGTCACCGTTCTCTAATGAATGGACAGGCTGCATTCTCAGGGATGTCACCAGTCTCTAGTCAATGGATAGGTTGCATTCCCAGTGATGTCACCGTTCTCTAATGAATGGACAGGCTGCATTCTCAGGGATGTCACCAGTCTCTAGTCAATGGATAGGTTGCATTCCCAGTGATGTCACCGTTCTCTAATGAATGGACAGGCTGCATTCTCAGGGATGTCACCAGTCTCTAGTCAATGGATAGGTTGCATTCCCAGTGATGTCACCGTTCTCTAATGAATGGACAGGCTGCATTCTCAGGGATGTCACCAGTCTCTAGTCAATGGATAGGTTGCATTCTCAGTGATGTCACTGGTCTCTAGTCAATGGATAGGTTGCATTCTCAGTGATGTCACCGTTCTCTAATGAATGGACAGGCTGCATTCTCAGTGATGTCACCGGTCTCTAATGAATGGACAGGCTGCATTCTCAGTGATGTGACCAGTCTCTAGTCAATGGATAGGTTACATTCTCAGTAATGTCACACGTCTTTATTGAATAGATAGGCAGCACTCTTAGAAGGCATTCTCAGAGATGTCATCGGTTGGGCTACAGTTTAGTACAGATTTACATCTTTAAATATGCAGCGCAAGAGACAAGGAAACACAGCAAAGGGCAGCTAAATGCACATTAGAGACCTTGTTGCCAGAACATTAACTTCTTCAAATATCTTCCCATAAGATTATACATGCATTTATCATATTTCATTTACCTGTAAAAGCCTCCCTTCTTTAAACATTCAAAAGACCTGCGACTTCTGCTGGATGTGATGTCAGCAGTCCCATCAGGCTCACAGCTGTCACTAGTGACACCCCATAATGTTCCTCTGCGCCCCCTTCCCATCAGCTACATATAAGACCATGTAGGGAGGCGAAGGGAGGGGCAGAAATGCTGGGCCAGCACAGGCAGTAATTGAACACTCCCAAAAGAGTAAAGGGCTATCACATACAAGGAGGGAGGGGGCTGTGCTAGGGAATTGACTCTTCTTGAAGGAGTCAAATTTGCTAGCAAAGACACATTGCAAGTGAATAGAAAATGTTTGGAAAGTAAAAAAAAAAACAAAAAAAAAACACTACAAGCAAGCATTTAAAACACTTCATTTTCTGTCTTTTTATCTTTTTTTTAAAAAGTTTTTTTTAAATTTGTGACAGGGTCTCTTTAAAGATGTGCGTTTATATGACATCCCCTCTTGGATAATCACAAGAAGATTTCTTCTCCATTACCAATCCAGGGTGAACTCAAAATGTTGACCCCGGTCCTGACAGTTTTGAAAAGATCCCCATTAATAAAAGCTAAAACAAAATATTTTTGCCTTTAGATGAACCTGATAAAGTTTTCATTATCTATCCATGCATAAATTAAGCAGTTATAGCCACCAATGACTACCAGGGGCAGGCTTAGGGTTAAGAAGATCGCGCACACACACGCCTCAAAGAAGTCAGTAATGTAAGGGATACAAAAGGGTCATGCATGAGCAAACCGCACAGAGAGAATACCTAGCTGGCATCCGACTTTGTCTTGGGGATATTCTAGGAGATAACTGAGGCATCTGTCTGGGTGAATTGCCAGGTATTGCACGAGGGCTGCTGGGAAGAGTACGTGGGCTTGGTGACAGATGCGTGGGAGAAACACTGACCGTCCGAGGACTTGAAGGAATAGGCAATGGTCCTGAATGTGCTATTGTGTAGGGACGAAAGCGTGAAGAAGCGGCATGAACTATGATAGGGACGCTCTGTGTGGCCTGTGGGCTGGCGGGCACAACCCGCCCAGTGCTGCTTGATGGCGTGCTAGAAAGTGGAATGGTGGAAGGAGCGGCCATACGTGCACCAGCGGCCAGACTGGTGGCAAAAACCGGACTAGTACCATAAAGACTGGATCAGAGAAAAGAAAACATAAAAATAAGAGCATAAATAGCAAAACTCAAATCAAAATCTTTACAAAAATAACTAAAATTCACAACTCTCTATACACCAATTCATTCATAATGGAATGGTTTGTTCACGAAGCTATGACATCAAAGCTTTAATACTTTTTAGATTTGTTTTCACATCAGTCATCTGATGCCCAATGGGTCACATTCAGATATTCTCTGGGCTGGGTGGTCCTTGGTGATGCACAGAGAGTGGTGTCATTAAGTCACCGCTCTCTGCACTATTAAATACCAAATGCAGGGTGCCATGCTGATGACCACTAAAAGGGCAGGTCCATTACGCCCTGCACACAGAATACAATCTTAGTCTTTCGGTTTTATTAATGCAGGGTGGCATTCAACCATGAAAACTTTGGAAATCTAGTGACGAAAAAAACGGTACCATTGGGGACAGCTCTGGATTAAAAGCATTGAAGATGTCTGACCAAAAAAAAAGAAACCTGGGGGATAATTTGTCTCAAGGCCCTGATGGAAGCTGCCCCTCTCCGACTCTCAGGCTGCAAACTAGGACCAGTAGCAACAACGAGGCTACTTAATTTCCCTTAAAAAATGATGCTATTGTCCCTACATGATTACTGAGCCCAGGAGTGAAAGACTTGCTGCTTCCACCAGGTGCTCTTCAGATGATGAAGCCTCATGACAGTCTGAACAGTCCATGTACTGGCAGAAGAATGGTCAATGCAACCATATCTTAACATCTTAAAAGGAGAATTATGAGGCGAGTGAAAATTACTCAGCCTCATAGTTCTAGCCGACCTGTGACCATGAAACTTTCACAGGTCGGCTCAATAGATTGGGAAGTGAGCGAACACATACCGTCGCTCGCTCACTTCTCGATCTATCCCTGCAGAGAGCTGTGACTGTCACTCACGGATCCCTGCAGGGATCCCCCCCCTCCCCTGTCGGATCCTCCAGCGCTGAATGGCGGAACGGACGGGAGAGGGGGCGGGTACAGCTGGCTCTGCCTCTAGATAGGCAGAGCCAGCTATCACTCCTGCAGCTAGGTGGATCTCGAAAGTAAAGTCGGGATCCGTCCCAGCTGCGGCGTCTCAGTATACCGCGAGCTGAAGCTCGCGGTATACTGAGCTTTGGGTTACGGGAGGGCTAGTTTGTGTCCTCCCATTACCCTTAGGAGACCTATGGGGAAAAGCCCTGACCCCATAGTTCTCCTTTAAGGGTCAAACCACAGTAAGGCTGGCCATATTTGTTTAGATTTCGCTCATTCATCGCTTAGTTCCCCCATGCACACTAAACAGCATGAATGGAGCAATCTCCCCTACCGGCTATTGTATTCAAGAAGCCGGGACACCCACGGCTGTCTGAATACCGATACAGTGACTAAATTTGAGAGGGAGCAGTAACTATTCAGCAGATAATTATCCACCCGGCTCAGTCAATTTTTCCATTCAACTTTTGTGAAGCCAGGTGATGTCGATAAGGCCAGCTAGCTGCAGCTCGAATGTTGTCAGATTCAGCGGGAATCAGAGGAAATATAAGCCATGCATGGCTACCTTAACAGACCCCTCAGACACTCGGAATAGCAAAATTAAGAAGGAGGCATGGAGTGTGATGCAGCCTGACATTGCTAGGGTTTACTATAGATATTTGCTAGCAACCAGAAGAAATTTACTGCAGCGTCATGGCCACCGCTGGCACCTACCCTACTATCAGCCTATATCAACCACATTTCTGTTTAATACAGCCAAATGAGTAAGAGATGCATTCTGATTGGTTGCTACAGATTACCGAATACTGCTCTCTGCCGTTTAGAGTTGATTGTACTTGCCTGGATACTGTGCTGGCACCAAACGATCCTGTATTACATAGCATGGGGCTGGTGCCAAGGCTGGTGGCCGAATTCAGAGTTAAAGTCCTTTCAGGCAGTCTTGTCGTTGCGATTGGCTGTGACGTAGCCGTCAGGCTAGCGAACGGATTATCGTCTTTTGACTGCGTGGACATCATCAAGACTTCCATTAAGATCTGTCCAATTAAGTCCTTAAAATTGGAGTAGACTAAAGAGCAAGAAAGAGAAAAAGACTTACAATGTCAGTTGCTAAACATTTAGTTCTCATGTGCTCCAGATACAATTGGTTACTGGCAACTCTCTCCATAAATGGCTGACATAATAAAACATAATTCTGCTTCTTTATCTCATCAAAAGCAGAATGTATAAATGGAATGAAGATTCAACAAGCAGAAAAATACCTTCTTTAGGGCTCTGTCTGAACTGAGAGGACAGATTTCTCATGAAGATTACATCCCGATCGCGGTCCTTCCAAGATACCCGGAAAATTTTGCAGACCAGCTGCAGTGACTGCTCCTCCGACACCTCGGAGTCTGAAGACTGTTCCTATGATGGATTGAAAACACACATTAATACGTCCACAAACAAGATCTGTATAGCAGTGTATATAAAAAAAAAGTAAAAGGGGCATAACAAATACCCAACGCCCGGTTATGGTGCATAGAAAAAAAATTAAAAAATGTATATCATAATATACACACACACACACGTCTGGGGGAAAAAGTCTGATGTGCCTCAAGTTTAAGCACTCACATGCGCACACACAGTTACACACATATATAAATGAATAGATAAAATAAGAAAAGCAGAATCAGTCATTGAATCACCTTGTCGGTCAGACTCCTTTTCTCCCTGCGATCAGTCTCATCCACCTCCATGTTCTCAATCCCTGAGTCCACATCTACCTGGGACATGCTGGTAATAAAGATGCAAAATGTCACAACACTGAAACATGACAGTCCTGCCAAGGCATTTCCACTTCTGAAGTAAATGGGTTGTAAGCCAGGTAATCGAAGTGGGAATTTGCAGTGACAGAACTCCTGATACTCATACAGTACTGAGTCAATGACTATAAATTTCACTTTAAGATGGTCAAATTCACGTGTACAGAATCTCTTATAAACATTAAAAAAAAGGCTACAGATTCCACTAAATGTGTGTTTAATTACCGATTTTAAAAGTATCGGGCAACTTGTGCAATATGTTTTTTTAAAGGCTGTATTTCAGCAATAGAGATGGTGACAAGTCTATGTAGTCTAGGGAGAAACTCTACCAATCTGTATATGAAATATGGCAGACAAATATAGAGCAAGGATCATTTACTTACCAGCCTTGCTCATACTCCCCAGCTGATATGTTCAGAGAAGAAGCCCTGAATCAGCTCTAAGTCATAACTTGGAGTTCATAAAGGACTCAGGACAAATGTGACACGTTAGGCATTTGAGCAGCCAATAACCAGGCATTAGCACTGCAAGTATGTGGAAGGGGAGCGGGTCACAAACTCCCTCTCCTCAGAAGTACTGGTTATGTCTTTCCCTCCTGGTGGCAGGAAGCCACAGTGGTGGAGTGAAGGCAAGCTGAATACATGCAGTCTGTAATTATATATACACATAAAAATGAAACAGAAAAACCAGAGTATGTTACCTTTTCTCACAGGCAACGCTATCGATGTCCATGCTCTGGGACCGCGAAAGGGACTGAGATTGGGTTTCAAGGCTGTTCGATGGGGAACTGCTGAGCGAACTGACCCCCTCACTGCTCTGGCTTCGATGGGCCACCCCTGCAAAAGAGCACAGACAGGAAAAAAAGACATTTAAAATTGTACCAATAAAGACAAAATAAACCCTGTCACTTGTGTATCACTTGTAATGATCCTCTTACATATTAATACATACAAGCTTTGTTATGACAAAATTAGAGCTACTAATTGTTCCTAATTAGGCCCCTAGGCATTCATCTTGTATACAAAGTAAAGGTGGCCATACACTGTACAACCATCGCAAGACCTTAGTCTTGCGATGGTTGTAAAGTGATTAAAAAAAACGTACGATCTGCCCATCTTGGACGGGCAGATCGTACTTTCGATCATCGCAAGCCCTCCCCCCTGAGGGCGTGCTCACACCGGCCCGTTCGGCATTTGTCTCCCGAGCACCGTACGATTCTCGGCTGGTTTTCTAGCGTGCTCCTTAGACAAAAGACGTGCGACCGTACAGTAGAAACGGTCGCACGTCTTCGTTCACACTGCTCGATTCTCGTACGATCGCGGGATTTCCCGCGATACTCGTACGAGAATCGAGCAGTGTATGGGCACCTTTACATTACACCGTAGCACCAACCTCTTCCTTTCCTGAATTTTGGCATCTGCAGATTTGTGTTTATGTGAAAATTACTACTAATAATAAAATGATTTGTCTGTTTCTTTCCCAAAACAACATTATCCTTCAAACATTCTTCTACATTGTCACACGGTCACTAATCTGATATTAATAAACGCTGGTACAGAGGACACGTTGTTCCTGATGTTCTCAGCAAATTATGGAGTATTGTTTAAGCAGCACCTTTCAGGACCACCAGGGTGACATAAGGGACTTCAGTCTACCTTAAAGGAGTTGTAAAGTCCCAGCGTTTCCTCTCCTGTTATAACATCAGCACTGTAATAGGAATACATACTGGAGATGTCTTTGATAATACAATCAAAGCTTACTAGAAAAAATCCCTTTTATGCAGCGAGCGCTGCCTTCCGTCTGCCCATCACTTCCAACAACTTCCTGGACTCCCGGTGTGCTTTGTGTCTCTTTCTCTGCTGCTTGTTGTGATGCAATCGCCTTTTCCCCAAGACTACATATCCCATCATGCATTGCTTCCAGCAAGCAATGATAATGTTACATTGATCAGACGTTGAGTTGTAGTTCAGAAGGCAGCTCTGTAAGAGTGGCGACACCAAGAAGTGCATATTCACAGGGCTGGGTGAAATTGTGTCAGTGCATCCTATGGGTATCTTAACCCCTTCGTGACTGACGACGTACAGTGTACGTCGCCAGCATCGGGGCTGTTTAAACAGACTCCCGGTGACTTTTGCCGCCGGGACTCTGTGTAAACTTGTAGAGCCGACTGTCGGCTTTACAACAGAAACGATCCTGGCGACTTACCTGTCGCCAGATCGCTTCTGCGTCCCGAAGAAGGGGACGCCCCCCCTGCCCCGCCGGACACCCCCGCTGTGCTTCCCGGGCTCCGTTGCCACGTCATGTAAGTCATGATCCTCTCCGGCTGCGGCGTCTGTAGCTGCGGTATACTGAGCCTAGGGTGACGGGAGAACGCTAGTTTGTGTCCTCCCGTTACCCTAAGGAGAACTATGGGGAAAAACACTGACCCCATAGTTCTCATTTAAGTTAACAAACTTTTAGGTGGATCTGGTTATAAGGAGTGGGATAGAATTTATGGAAATTCAACGTAGAATCATTAAATTTTTCGTTTTTGACCATAGATACCCTTTAACAAAAAAGTTTGATTACATAGTTTAACCCTCAAGAGCAGGGGTCTCAAACCTCCGGCCCTCCAGCTGTGGTGAAACTACAAATCCCATGATGCATCTCTCTTCGGGAGTCATGTCTGTGAGCATCTTGCAATGCCTCACGGGATTTGTAGTTCCACCACAGCTGGAGGGCCGAAGGTTTTAGACCCCTGCTCATGAGCGTCTCAGGCATACCATGCATTTAATAGACTTCTCCACAGTTAGGTACTAGCACATAGAACTCATACAATAGGCCTCGGGCTGCAACAACTAATCGATTAAATAGATAAATCGATTCTGAGAATAGTTGGCAACTATTCTCATTATCGGGGGAGGGAGAGATTTTTTTTTATGTAACCAAATCGATTAGTTGAAAAAATAAAAATCAGGCAACTAATTGATTATGAAAATAATCATTAGCTGCAGCCCTAAATAGGTCATATCAAACATCACATTCATCAGAAGCAATCCACGATGGTAGAGCGTCGTCACAAATCAGCAGAGGACGGGTTAAGCATTTCGCAAAGCAACACACTTCTTCAGACCCAGAAGCCAGCAAGAGTCACTCTTTGTGTAATAAAATATACATGTCTGAGATAAACTTCTTGTACCAGATGCTGGATGTCCTGATGTGAGCAAGAATAATGACAACTGCACTCTCATTGGCTGGTATGAGTAACAGACAGTTCTCCTTGCTTAGCATTCCTCCATTGGCCTCCGCTATTTTCTACATCCGAGTGAAGATATTCTTTATACCAAGCAACAAAGAAATACTTTTGGATCAGCCCCGTTGATTCACCGAGGACACCTGATTCTGTCAGAATTCCCTTATTACAGACGGGTAATGTGGAGGGAAGGCTCCGAGCCGCAGATGTACCCAGTGACAGATCAGTACTGACACCTCGGCAGAGGAAGAGCACAGCGGTGAGCGGAGCTTCTGCACTCAGGAAATGATGGCCGGCACAGCTCCATCCTAACAGACACTGGATATTGGCTGCTGGTGAGGTTGTTCTATAAAAGCCTCTTATTGGTCATCCAAATGTGTTTTTGTATCAGTTTCCTGTATTCTTTTGCACAGCAGCATGCTGACTGTAGGAGAGTTATCTGAGAGGAAGGGAGAGCAGAGTGATGAGCTCATCCTCCTGCTGCTCCTTCACTGGCCAGTCGTAGGCTGGGGTGGGTCTTAGACCAAATTATTTAACTTAAAGAAGAACTCCAGGGAAAATGATTATTAACCCTTGCAGTGGAGCTACCCCTGCATTGCAATTGTTAACTGTGCATTTTTTGGTCTAGGGCTGAAAACAACAAGTTATACTCACCTGATCCTCTGAGCCGTCCGGCCTGTGACTTTGCTCTCTCCAGCCTCTCTCTGCCTATGCTGCAGCAAAGGTATATCCCTTGGTGTCCTCCTGTTTTATACACTGTGTATACAACGTGATGATATATGGGACCTTGGACCTGCAGCAGACGAGGGGAGAAGCTCCGGGGACCAGTCTAAAAGCAAGCCGGCTCGGAAGAGAGAGTGACTAACTTTATTTCCCTCCCTAGACATAAACGAGCACTTACCCTGGCATGGTGTGGGTAGCCCCACTGCAAGGGTTAATAATAATTTTGTCTGAAGTTCTTCTTTAACTGTATTATATTCTGCAGAGGGGACAAAAATGCAGCCTGCCTTTAGGTGCGTTTAAGCTTGCTTCTGAGATTCTTCTGCATTCCCATCAACAGAGAAAAACAATTCAGATGCAAACAAATGTCAGGTACACAGGCCCTTAGTGTGATGTCTAGATGACAATATTGGTGGAATGGAATCACAAACTATAAAGCCAAGATTTGGAGATGTCACTTCCGTGCTGATCATCGCTCTCCTTCCCGGAGAGGAAGCTGTACCTGAGAACCTGCAGTGCAAGGATCTCCCTGCCACTGCATCATACATTCTGTTGATCTGTGCTCCACCTCTGCTGCTTCCTAAACCTACCCCTCTGGTCATCATATACTAGTCATCATGGCCAGGTGGTCTCAAATGGCAAATCAAAACTCTGCGTCCACACAAAGATACCATGCCTTGTTTTGCATGGCAAGTCAGTCAGATCTGCTGCAAGGAGCCTGGCGATACATGCTTTGCCCTCTGCTTGCCATTTTGTGGCACAGCTTTCACAGTTCATGTCTGCTTTAGCAGTAGAGTAAAAATAAGCAGGCACATCCAGAAGGAGCCCAGCAACAATCTTCCTCACTTAAACTGAAAGGCAGTCTGCATTTCTTCCCTGATGTTCTCCCAGAAGCACAGTCGGCTGCCTGAGGACACCAGCAGTTGCATATTTATATGTCCGTGTACAGCACAGCAAGCAATAACAAGCCGTTGCAGGTTAGAAGAGGAGCACCATGACCCGACTCTGCTATAGGGAACAGACCCTTTCCTCTACTCCAGTTTTCCCAACTGAGGTCCAGTGCCCTTTAACTCTATTGTATGAGAATCTCCAGAACAAAAAAACAAAACCTAGCCTTGAAATTTTATTCAACGGCTGCTTTTTAATAGTTGCTATGGCAACCATAATTTATGGAGGCCTGTCTCTCTAACGCCCAGACAAAGTTGTGCAGACACAAAAGCACACAAGTACTGCTGTATCATGCCGAACCCTGCGCAGCAAGATAGAAAAAATAAAAGAGGCAATTTATACATCGCAAACCCATCTGTAGCTTTAGTCGAATACTTCCATTACTTACCTCCAACCCCACCGATGCAAGCAGTGGGACGGCTCTCGGGAGGAGCTATACCCTAGGTAACACCCACATGTGATGCAGATTGGAAGAACTGAAAGCCAGGGCGTCAGGCTAGGGAGCAAAGAGCTAGATATTAATGGAAGCCTTCCAGCCAGGAAGTTAGGAGGGCTCTATCTGACTTGCTGCAGCTTCTAATGCACATTATGAGAAGCTTGCAGTGTGCAGTGATATCAGAGGAAGCAATTTCAGTCCAGGAGAGGAGCCGGTACAACTGTGCAAGCCCCAAGGGAAGGCCGGAGTTCAGCTTTAAGGGCCGGTGCACACCTAGGCGACACCCCACCACGCCGCAACCGCGCACGATTACGCGCGGTCCGGAGATGCCCAGGTGTGTACCGATCGTGCTGCGGGTGCCATTAATTTCCAATGGCACCCCAGTTGCACCGGGGCGGATTGCACAGGATTCTGCCCATACTTCTGAACACCCGCGCGTTGTGCATCACAGAAAAAAGGTACAAGTACCTTTTTCTGCGACGCGCGGCTTCGGAAGCAGG